AAACTTGCATCAAGGAACTAGTAAACAAACTTGTATCAAGGAACTAGTAAACACATATATATCAAGGTCCTAATAAACAAACTTGTATCAAGGTCCTAATAAACAAACTTGTATCAAGGTCCTAATAAACAAACTTGTATCAAGGTCCTAATAAACAAACTTGTATCAAGGAACTAGTAAACAAACTTGTATCAACGAACTAGTAAACACATATATATATCAAGGTCCTAATAAACAAACTTGCATCAAGGAACTAGAAAACAAACTTGTATCAAGGTCCTCCTATAGATATTTTTAAATCCATGAAAGTGCTGTGTACACAATAAAACACAACCAAGTGTTTTGTAGACAATTTCAAAACCTGAAATAGACACATTGATCTGAAAGTTCAGAAAGTTAGCATTTTCCTACACTGAAAATGTATTTTTGATAGATACTTGCCTCCTCTCACATAATAGCTTTTCCTGACTAGTGCTGCTCTTTATTTATGCTGTTTTCACTTGCCATAAGCCTTGATGCTTCCATCTACTCTCATGTGTTTACGTAGTATGGCTGTGTTGTAACATGCCAATGAGCATGCGATAACCTTCTATACTGTTTAATGCAAACATCACCTCGACATTAGGCAAAAAAAGACACACCAGAAGTGGGGAAGATGGGTGAGAAGTGTGATAACAGATAAGTATCTGTTAGAAATACATTTTCAATGTAGGAAAATATTAACTTCTGATACAATACCTTACACCTCGTCTCACATAACAGCTAGAATCCCACATTGAAACAGTGGAGGTACCAATGCATAAGTTACATAGATGAGCCCTATTCAGAAGGCACCTGAGGAGAACCCATGGAGTGTGATACCCTAATCTATGGGGTCACACTCATGGGAGACTGCACCCCATTTGTATCACATATACTCATTGCCTGTTATAAAGGAACGCATCAAAAAATTTAGAGAAAAAGATGCTTGTTGAAAACAGTAAGTGGATGTGCCAGATGGTGTAGAGTGGCTAGGGCACATCAAACTGTAATCAGTGGGTCAACTCCAGTCCACAACAGGTGGCATTAGGTATTTGTCATCCATTCTGTGGTAAGAGAAGGGTCTCTACCATTTTCACCTCAAGCTCAAGATCTGAAAGGGAAAATGAACTTCCTTATGAAAACCCAGGTCGGGCATATGTGTGTGCAGACTCAGTACCCAACCAACACAAGGCCACCTGGGAATCTGACATCTCGATGATGGTAGGAAGGGGAATGCAACATGGTGGGTCAATTACAATACAAAACCTGGCAGCATTGGGAATTTATCGTCCAGTCCACAGTAGGAGGAGGGTTCCTACCAACCACATGTATGAGGACTTACATTGGCTGGTCCAGCACAGATCCAACACTATTCCACCCAGGAACTGATATCCAAGAGGTGATAAGATGGGAGAAAACCAGTATGAAGGGTGAACTGCATATGGCAGGTTTGTATAGTCCAAAACCAGGTGACATCAGGTATTTTGCTTTCAGTCTGTGGTAGGAAGAGAGTATGCACCATCTACATCAACAGCACACTACCTCCCTACTCTAAACAGAGTGGAACCAGCTGCATTTAGGAGGAAACCTCTATGGTCCACCAACCCAGTGGCTAGGAACTGGTAGAGGGCAAGGACTCTCATACTCCACTGGAAGAAGGGGTAACAATGCAGTGGAGAGCACGGACGAGCACAACACCGTAAGAAAGTGTAATGGGTGACCACGAAAACCCCATTTTGAAAAGCAGGCTGGTTCGATTAATTCAACCAGGTTGAGAGGGATGAGTAGCAATCCCAACACTGCTTTACTCATGATGGTCCATGAATAGGTACGGTCTGATTCAGGCCTTATTTATGAAGCAAGACAGTGTGAGGGAACCTCAAGTGATCTTGAGGAACACCCCATCTCAACAGTGAGCATTAGAGACAAAAAATGGCCATATGGTGTGGATTTCAGTAGAACTATACCTGGATAAGCCCCATTCACCACAGAACAGGATCCAGAAATGAGTAAAAGGCCAAAGTAATGGTAAGAAATAAAAGGAAAGAATTTACCCACCCACAGCTGAAACCAGGTGTAGAGAATGGCAGCAGGCAGTAACTGACAGCGAGGGGAGGAGGAGGAGATGGCCAAATGATGTGAGAGTGGGCGATAAAAAACAACAGAAGCAGGCAACCAAGGAAAAATGAAAAGTATTAGATAAGGCCAGTCTGTATAGCCTGCAACAGAAGACAAAGACAAACCTCTATCAAATAGCCAGGTAGAAAAGATCCAGAAAGGTGAGGAACAGTAGATTGGGAGGGTAAGAAACCATGGTGCAGAGATCAACTGCAGAAAATGTACCATTTTCTCTGGTAAACATATAACAAGGAAGGATGGACAGAACAGGAAAGAAGGAAGGCTATTCAAAAAGAGAGTCAAGATCGTGTTGCAAGGGACCAGACAAACACCACACGTGAAGCAGAAGTTTGGTTACAGCAGGATGATACATGGCTAATTGAGGTTGCCAAAGAAGGGAGTAGCAAATGGGAAAAGGTAATGGAGAGGATGACTGCAGGGGGGTCATGATCAGAAATCATGGCTAAACAGGCCAGAATGGGTCAATAAAAAGGATTCGACATGGAGTGTTTTTGATCAGGGAGAGAACAGAAGGAAGAAAACAGATAGGAGGATAGGCTTATAGGTAAAGGTTGTTGGGCCAATCCTGACTGAATGCATCCAAAGCCAAAGGATATGAAAACTGGAGACCAGAACAGGTGGTTTGGAATTGAGATGTGTGGCAACTGCCTCCAGAAGAGGAGTGTCAAACTGGGAGCATAACCATAAAAAACTTGGGGAGCTAGGGACCATTCCATGGGCAAAGTCTTGTCAGGATGAGATAATCGATCTGCTACAAGATTCAGAGTACCCGGGACTTGACAAGCCAAAAGGTGGATTTGCTAAGACTGGGCCCAGAAAAGGAGATCCAACATCTGAAAACAAATTGAATGTAAATGGGTGGCCTTTTGCCAATTGATGTAACAGACAACAGTAAAATTGTCAGAATGGATCATTACCAAATGGCCCTGTATCAAAGGTAGGAAATGAACCAAAGCTGAACGAGCAGAAAGAAATTCCAAGAGATTGATGTGGAGAGAAGATTTGACCTAATAATCCATATACATACACCCAATTCTGTGAGTGAAACACCTGCAAACAGGTCCAACTCAGGACAGGGAAGAGGCAAAGTAACGCCAGCCGAGGTGTTTTCTTTGTTGAGCCACCAGGTAAAACTGACCTGGAGGAAAGGGAGGAGGATGAAGGAATCCAAGGGATCCCGAACGAGATTCCATTGATCATGCAACATCCACTGAAGACCACATGTGTGCACAACCCCAGGGTATAAGGACTTCCACAGAAATGTGTATGAGTGAAAAAGGCTTGTTGGGACAGAGGTAAAAGTAGCCAGTCATCCATGTAGTGATGGAACCACAAACCTTGGTCACGAAGATGGCAGGCAAAGGCTCTGACACCACAACAGAAGATGTGGTGCCAATGCCAGACCAAAAGGTAGAATACAGAATTGGAAAACCTCACCTCTGTGAACAAAATGAAGGTAACATCTGGAGGCTGGAGAGATAGGGATATGAAGATATGCATCCTAGATGTCCACCTTCATTATCCAGAAAAAATTGTCCTCCAATGTGTGAGGAAAGACTCCATGATGAACCAAGGGAGGTTGATGAAGTGTTTGAAGCTGGATAGGTCGATGATAAGACACCACTACCCAGTCTTTTTGGAAATATCAAACAGCTGGGAATAAAACTCCAGAAAAGGGTGACTGACCAGTTAGATAGCATTCTTGAACAAAAGATCTCAAACCACTTCTGATAGATGCTGGCATGAAACGGGATCCTTTGAAGGAGAGAGGGAAATAGGAAGCAGGAATAATGGGAGAGGCCAGGATATGAAAGGAGAGTCCTGTTGAGAACCCCTGAATAACCCAGGGATATGTGGTAAATGGGTGCCACAGATGAACAAACTTGGCCAACCATGCCCCTACAATGCCAGAATGTAGTTTCAGGATCAGAACCCCACAGTTGAATTAAAAACTCCAAAGTCTGAGAGTTTGAAAAACGTGGGGGACGAGGGAAGCTGACACCTGAATGTAATTGGGTTTGAAACTTATCAGCATGGATCAAGACACAGTAGTGTGTCTTGTAGTAAAAAACAACCTGCAATGTGTGTTATTAACAGGAGTGATAGTTTAGCAATTTTTTCACCTTCTGACAGTGGTAACCCAAACTATCACATATATTCAGTGGATGTGCTCTACCAAACTTCAAGGCAATCCATTAAGAAATACATGAGATATAACATCTCCAATTTCGACTGAGTTTCTCCCTATTTTTTTTTCTTCATAACAAAAGTATGGAAACTTTATTTGATATAAAAACATACTTAACTTTTATGGATTTTTTTTCAAATTTGGTACACTGACAGATCTTTACAGCCTACAATTAGAAGTCTCATTTGACATACATATAAGCCACATGTGCAAAGTTATTCAACAAAAACCACTGAAATTTAATAAAAAAATTTGTACACGCCTACACAAAAAGTCACGTGAGCTATCGGTCTAGTATTTTTACTACAGATTCACCTAAGAGTAAAAATGAACCGTTTTTAGTTTTTGTCATTCGGATTAAAGACAGATGTGTAGGTACATAAGTATTGGTTAGACCAAGCAAACTAGATTAGCAATTTTTCAAAAGAATCATACAAGTGGACAGTTATTATTCATTATTCATTGAGAACTTTTCAGCACAGATTTATTAAATTTGAGGAAATTATCCTAATTAAAGAGTGTTTAGAATCACGTCATATTAGCTTAAGCAATCGCCATAAGTAATGATGCTTTATACGGCTGTACTGACTGCATGAGGGGGTTACCACCATCATGCCCAAGTTGAATAAAAAATGCAACCTGGCTAACTAATGAATGAATATTTGCTGTAAAATTCTTATAAATACAATGAGTGTAGCTACCAATTTGGCTGTAGTTTTTATTTCATTCCTTTCAGTTGCACATTGAATCCTTTTTTGGCCACACCTATGGTGTTTTTGTTTATATTCAAATATAAGAAGAGGGAGGGAAGACCAAATAATCCAAGGAAGGTGCAGAATGTAGGTGGGAAGGAGAAGAATCATATGACACATGAGAAGAATGAGACAAAACACAATATACCTGGGAAAGCATTTCTAGGAATGCAGAGGAACATGTAAAGGAGTAGCATAAGACTGCACTGCAAAGGAAGGATGCAGGAATAGCCTGTCCAACTCATCCTTGTCATGACTTGGTTCATCCATGAATGGAATATCTGGCCATGGTTCAGGAGACAGGGCAGGCCACATAATAGATTTCAACTCATGGCAAAACAAGGACAAGGTCTCCTCAGCAGACACAATAGAGCCCAAAGCCACTCATGTAGTAGGTTGTTCAACAGTGGCAGGAATTATGACTGAAGTTGTTGTGGTGACAATGAATTGAGAATTCGTATTGTTGAAATTCGGGAAGAAAAAAAATTCCACAAAAAAAGAAGTGATAAAAAACAATACAACAAACTAAATTGTTGAAAATTCACAAAAAGAATTAATAATGCATATTAATGAAACAAAATTGAGCCAGAAAAAAAAAGAATAACTGTACACTAGAATGCCAAATCAAAGAAGTAATGTTTGCACTCAACAGTATAGAGGAAATCAGCTGCGCTGTTGGTGAATGGTTGTTGCATGCTCATTTCCATGCTACAGCACAGACATACCACATGAAAACAAGTGAGGGGTAGGTGGAAGCATCAAGACTGGTGGCGAACAAAAACTGTGCAAATACAGGGCAGCACTAACCAAGCAAAGCTATTATTTGAGAGGAGGTAAGGTATCGTATCAGAAGTAATAGATTTGTTGATATCTAATAGCATAAGACAAGTATAATTTTTTAAAGATTTGCCCAGGGAGTTTCTGGGGAGTTCTGAAAAGCATCTATTAAAAATACTGCAAGTATAAGAAATGAAATATTTAGTGTTAAGGGTTGCAATTAACAACAAAAGGTGTAAATTGATTAGGTGTAAAAAGAAAAAGAAAATATATAATATAAGCATCCAATAATCTAGAATAACATAAATATAATTTAAGTTATAAACAAATTGGATAAATACCTGACTGCTTTAGAATTTCTGTATATAGTGTATCACGATCTTCCTTGTTTTTAAAGGTGAGAAAAAGATGCTTTAATGAATATTCATCAGGACAATACAGCTCCAGACCCTGGAAGTATAAAAAAAGTAGTTTATCACATACACCAATCATCTTACAGTTAGCAATATTACAAATATAATATACAAAATACATAAGAAAAAAACTAAATTTATGAAATAGTAAAATTTCTCTAAATTTATTTTGCAGAGTTACAAAAAAGCTAAGCTAAACAACAAGACTTTATAATTCAGACAGTTTTAACTAACAAATTTATGAGATGAATATCACTAAAGTGTTTTAATGTATAAACTTTTTTGATGTTGCAATGAGAAATGTTTCAGTACTTTTATATGAACCATTGACAGTTCCAAATGATACTGTTCCTACTTAGAATACCAGCAAATTGGTACAGAATTAAAAACAAAACAAAAATTTCAAAAATGATTTTTTCTCCATCACAAACCTTTACTAAAGTGAAACTTGAATATAAGCATCCAGTTTTCAATACATATTTACATATAGTACATTTCAAATGCCTTATTCACAGTCTTTTTTTGCCTAATTAAAAACGTTATAATAATAAACCTGTTTCTTGAACAATGAACTTTAGAGCCATGATAACTGCAGTATAAATGTCTCCAAAACTGCCCTGATGAGAAGATTATAGTTGGCCAAGATTTCAAGTACATTATGTTGGCAAGTACAGAATAAAAACACATTAAGAAACCTTTAGTTATGTGCTGTAAAATGTAACACTAGAAACACTTTAACTCCTTTTTTCACTCAACATAATGCTTAATATGAAGTAAAATTATTTCAGAGTGTGAACCTGACATTATTCCAGCTGTTATAAACCAATAAAGTAAACATTTTGAAATTAAGGTAGAAAATTTCTTTTTGAACCAGAATAAATACCTTTTGATTGCTAAAACTAAAATATCATTTAAATACCAAACTTTCATAGCTATATCTCAATTTTCAAGGCAAACTTCACACATTCCTACCAGCTTCTACCGTATATCGTATCTTTATTTCTGGTATTTCTCAATTTTCAAAATCAAATCAAATATTTCCAACAGCTTCTACCGTACAATGTATCTTTGTTCCTGGTATTTCTTCATTTTCAAAATCAAATCACACATTTCCAAAAGCTTCTACCATACAATGTATCTTTGTTCCTGGTATTTCTCAATTTTCAAAATCAAATCACACATTTCCAACAGCATCTACCATACAATGTATCTTTGTTCCTGGTATTTCTTCATTTTCAAAATCAAATCACACATTTCCAACAGCTTCTACCATATAATGTATCTTTGTTCCTGGTATTTCTCAATTTTCAAAATTAAATCACACATTTCTAACAGCTTCTACCAAATAATGTATCTTTGTTCCTGGTATTTCTCAATTTTCAAAATTAAATCACACAGTTCCAGCAGCTTCTACCATACACTTTACCTTTGTTCCTGTTATCTCTCATTTTTCAAAGTCAAACTTCACACATTTCAACTAGCTTAATTATACATATATTGGTAAAAAACAGCATACAAATACAGTGTGAAATGATAATTCACTTACCACATGTCTCAAAAGGAATCTTCTTTTGACTACTCTTGTGATGGAAGAAAGTTTAATTTTCAACACAGGCCACTGTAAACATAAATTGATGATGTAATATATCATTGAATAAATTAGCTTAAAAAAAGAAAGAGGCAATGTAAATGTAAAATGCCCAGTTATCTCCCTATATATGGATTGCATGTTTTTTTATAAAGATCATGAAACCTACTTTTTTAGTTACCTAATCATATGAACCAAGCTTTAGTCAACAAATACTAGCAATGCAATTAAAAAAAACAGAGCTGCATAAAAAAAACCAGTTTACACATTTATCCTTCCCACAGCTTACCGGTTCTGCATTATTATATGGTTGAAAATAAAGCCTTGAACATGTGAGAAGAATCCTGCCTGGGTTCACTACTAAAGGAGTTATTTTATTCCCTGTAGTTTCCATCACAATTTTTTCATACAAGTCTTCAAGCCTGAAAGAAAGAGCAAAGCATCTGAAAGAAGACCTTTCCAGAAATGTAGGCCATCTTTTATTTTTTTTTTTATTTTCATTTGTTAGTTTGTGTCTTATCACATTTTTCAATATTTACATTTTATCAATACTGTATGCTCCAATAATTTAGATTTTTAGAAGTGAACCTTTGTATCTTCTCTTTTTTAAATCGATACACTCCAATGTAGGTCTTCGTTAAATTTTTAATTACAGTAAATTTCATGTGTTTAAGTGATATACTTCTCCTATAAGTATTTATTAATGATCTCAACTTGTACATCACACACTTCTATAAAGACAGAAAGACAATACACATAGTCCAGTTCTTTCTTTTTTCTTATATTATAATTCTATTTTTACTACAGCATTCATCTGACAAGTTAATTTTGAATTAACTTATATAACTGTTTATATATATTTTTGGTTTGTTTAGAATTTACTGACAACTTTATTTAGAATTTTAGTTCCAGAAGAAATCCATACAACATGAAATACTCTTTTCTTTTTTTTTTTACAAGGTGCTTAAAACACAAACAAAGCCACAACCCTTGTTACATAAATTTTTATAAAAAACAATAACATCAAATTGCACTATATTCCAAAACTTTTGCAAGTGAATCACTTCATTTTAATTACTAGAAATCTGGAAAACAACAATCTAATTTGCTGCATGAAAATTTCCAGGTATAAAATACACCCCAACAATTGGGTTACTTATTTTCACGAATCCAGATTTAATAATTCCACATAAACTAAGTTGTGTGTCATAAGATTACTCATTTAAATAATAATTAATATTCAAGAAAACATACTGTATCTCATTCGATGATGAGGAATGCACTTTGAGACTAATAATGCTTGGAGATGGCTTGAATGGGTAATGAAAAAAAACATTAATATAAGTTTAGCATAACAGCAAATGTACAATGTTTCGACAAGGTTTTGTCATCATCAGTTATTGAAAAACTAACCAATTTTCAGGTATTATCCAAAACATGCAGAAAAAATTCCTAAAAGCAACCCAGAATTCCAAATATCAAGAACTGGACTACTTACAAAAACTCAAACAGAAATTAGACCACCAACTAGCCTGCTACCTCAAACCAGATGATTACAGCAATATACAACATGCTATCAACCAAAACAACTCATTTTTAAACCAAGAAAAGAAGTAAGAGACTATAACAACTTGAAGTGAAACACAAC